CTGCGTCATTTCACCCATCTTTTCTCCAATGTTAGTAAGCATCTGTTCATCTGTAGCTGTGAACCTCCGCACATTAAATGTTCGTGCTGGCAAGGTCAAGGACATCAATAGGGGGAAGTGGATACTGTTGAAGAGTATTTCCAAGTGTTCCATTTCCAAGTGAATATTGTGAACTATTTCCAGTTTGCGCAACAAAGAGGGATCAGTGAGCTTTATGATATAGAAGAATTTCTGCAAAGCCAGGTTGTCAGATCTGAATGCCACACAGCAGATCTTCAGCGGACAACAGCATTTCTGCAACAGGGCCTGCACTACCAGCTCATAGTTCCGCTCTGTAACAAACAAGTCAATTAGCACATCAATACTGATTTCAAAGGTACCTGGATTGCACTGTGTTTGTTGCAGGTAAACCAGCAGTTCTAAACAAAGCTTAGAGAGCAGCTGTGTCCTGGCCCACCTGCCCATTGTCTTCTTACACTCACAAAACTGTTCTTCAACATCTTTTATACCAGTCAGGTCGACCACTTTCAATCTATTCATGCAGGGAGAAGGATGTTTCAGCACATAGTCTCTCAGCCCTGTCAGACAGCTTTCCAAGCACACTGAACATGTTCTATGGCTTAGGTCTTCCTGGTAGTCCACAGTAGTTCCCAAAAGTTTTCCCATGTTAAAGTCAGCAAGTGGCCAGTTCTCTACCAAGTCATGAATCACTCCCCCTTGCTCCAGTAAATAGCTGGCTTTAAAAAGAAGAGGAAAAAGATTATGAGCAACACCGCTGAGACTCTTCCTGGCAAACTCTGCATTTGACACGAATGCTTCAGCACTAATGAACTGGAGAGACTTCATTGTTGCTCTGGACTCCTTGCCGTCATGAAGAGGGACTTCTGCGTTTAACTAAAGATCCTATTTGCTAATCACCTTCTATTTTTATCTGCAGCTGCTGTTTGCTGCTAACAGAAGCCTTGCTGGGAAGGCAGAATGAACAGTCACATGCTGATTCTCTGTTCTATTTTGGGGCTATGCTGTGATTCTGCAGTAATTAACTATGAGATCTTTAGTCAGAGAGCATTTATTCATTTAAACCCTCATATTTATAACAAAGCTAACTCAGCTAAGTACAGACCACTGCCCAGCAGGAACAGTAAGATCAGGGCAGCACACATACATGAGAATATTTCTGTATCTTTTCCTATGCCATACAAAAAGGCACTCAGGGTTCCAACTTAAACATGTAACATGATCTGCATTCCACTTTCTTCCATTAAAGATGATATGCTGGGGATTCCCATGCTGATTTCAATGGGGAAGATTTCTCAGAGCTAGCACAGAGCATCTCCTAAAAACTATAGCCATAAGGAAAGACTGAGGTGCTATAGTCATTGAGCTACACAATGTCCCTCCATTTTGCCCTTCCTATCAGCAAAAAATAGTTAAATACAGTGGCTCCAGTGGAAAAGACAAAAGACTCTAGAAGAACTCGGTGCCTTGGTGACCAGGACACTTGCCTGTGATACGAGACTGAGGGTTAAGTACAAGACAAGCTGAAGAAGACAGAGTACAGGCTTAAAACTTTCTCATAACTTCCCAGGCAAGCATCTTATTGCTGTTGCTTTGTGCAGCAGATGGTCTTTCCTGGTTTTTGGGAAATCATGGTTTCATTGTTATACAGAATGAGAAAACATTCAAAATTAATTTTTTTTTCAGGCCAGGAGAAAAACCTCTCTCACCCAGCTGTCACAAAAGCAGAGACGATGTTTCTTTCAACCTGGCACTTGCCTGCCAGGGGAAGCAACATTGGATACCTCCCTTATAGTGTACTCTCATGTCTTTTGCTGGGCAACCACTGGGACAGAGAATGAACATAGCTTGAAGTTACTAAGTTACCTGGAACATTTATATTTGTTATGGGGTTTTTTTGTTTGTTTCTTGGTTGGTGGTTTTGTGGTTTTTGTTTTTTTTTTTTTTTGAGGGGGGTGTGTTACATTTGCGTTGTGGGGCTTTTTGCGGTGCAATTGGGATTTCAGTACATCTACTGGGTTATCTTCTACTAGCTATCGACTGAACATTGGGTGCAAGATAATCCTGTAAACATCTTTCTTTTTTCCTGTGTCATTTAGAAAAACCCTCAAATCAATGTTAAGTAGTTTCTAAGGGCCTATACCCCAGCTCACATCCTCCGTTCCTTCTGTTCCCCAGGGCGTTCTCTTGTTCACCTTCCACCCTCTGCAGATGACCTCTACCTCTTCTGTTCTGCAGTTCCCATTTCTCCAATGTCATTTGTACAAAGGATTCTGAGATAGTCTGCCTGGCTGGCAAAACTGACTATGTCTTGAGATGCCCTTGTTCAAATCCAGCAGAGGTCCTTGTTGCGAATATGTTTTTTTTTAAGTGGCTTTGGTTTAGCAGCAATTTAAGATTTATCAATATTTTTGAGATAGATCACAGAATTAGGGCAATTGTGAGAATTCGTCCATGTAACCATGCTAGCCAGCCAGTGTAAGCTACTCCCAAAAAGGCAGAACAATCTGATCTAATTGCCGACACATTAATGTGCAGTGCAAGTTCCACCCTTTTCAGGGACCAACTAGGGTTAAAGAAAACTCGCTGTTGTCCTATATTTTTAATTATATAAGGGCCAGTGTTATAAATGTAAGGGGATAACTTAATAGGAGGCTGAGTTGGTGAGGACGGTTGCTTGATATCCATTTTGAATTGGAGGCCTAAACTGGAATGAAATTTGGAGTCTGCCCAAAGACACATTATCAGTGTTGAGCAGGATACAGTAAAATTATACCAACATTCATGTCCGAAAGGACAGGTATGTGTGTTACCAGGACCACGTCCATGTTTACCTTCAGCATAGTCCACAATAATGTGTGAAACTGTCTCACACTCAGTGTGGTTTTCACTTGGTCATCCTACTGAAATGATGTCTCCTATTATTCCCTTTGAAGATGGAATCTGTTGATCTTCATCTTCATTTTTTATAATCCACTCTTGTCTATGAAAGGTAATATTATGTAGTACTACTACAGACAAATTTAGAGATTTAGCGGTATAAGTGTCAGAACCTGTATAAGCATTAACTCACGGCCACCCCGTTGTACACAAATTCCATATTTTGTGCACATCAATCTTCAATTTAATTGTCAGTCCTACTTTGTGGTGGGCCCATCCGCAAATCACAAAACCAGGTTGCACTAAGTTGAAGTTACACCAGTAATCTATATTGCCATAAACACAAAATTTCTTGTCTTTTCTTCTAGTCCAAGTGGAACCAGCATTATAAACAGTCACTTCTGTCAGTTTCCAATGGGTAGATTCATTGATTACTCAGCATCCTACTTTAATTTCTTCTCCTGGAGTGCCTCGGAGTAGGGGAACAAAATTTTTCCTGTCCCACTTTCATTCATTTCTTAACTATCTCATTTCCATGCATAACCAAAGTAGAAAGCCTGCCCTTTCCCTCAATGTTCCCATATTTCCAGTATATCTTACTAATGCGTGATCCCATGGGTTTTGTGTTTGAGAGGTGGTGATTACACCTACTCCAATTAACAGGAAAAGACAAGTTGGCATCGGGGCATATAACCATTGATGTTGTTGCCATTGATATTGATCCCAGCAGATTAATGCGAAGAGAGGGCAAAGGAGTATACATGATGATGTAAAGATGCCGATGTCTAGTATAATAGTTGCTCCCATGGTGTCATTAGTGGAGTTCATTGTGTCCTGTAAAAGAAAGAAAGGAAGAGTCTCGGTGGGGAAGGCTGAACGGGTTACCCCTTTTACAATACAGGGTAAATACATCTAGCACCAATTTTATGCTCTGCTCCACTATTGTCAATAGCTTCCCATGCCATTGTTCCTCATGGTTCCTCTTAACTAAAGTTAAGAATCATTGGTACTCTTCTGATAGATGGCAGTTGACGGGTTGTCCTGGTTTCATCGGAGACCAGCTATGCCCGTTATCTAGAGGTTTGTCTAAAGGAGCCGTCAAAAAAGCTTGAGTAACTGGACTTCCATAGGGACTATACCTATTATTCAGCTGGTGCAGGGTTTTTGAGAGGTGGGCATCCCATTGTCCTTCATGTGGCTTAAGGTATCTTTTCAGGAGTCCACTGGCCCATTCAACAATACCATTAGATTGTGGATAGTATGGAGTGTGGAACACCCATTTTATGCCTTCTTGTTTTGCTCATCCTTGTACTCCTTTGTTAGCAAATGTGAGCCATTATCACTCTGAATAGAGTCAGGAACGGGCAAAATTGAGAACCATGAGGAAAGGCCTCAGATGATGTTTTGCCCATCTGCCTTTCAGCACTTAGTGGTCATTAAAAGTCCAGACACCACTTCTACACCTGTCAAAATACACCTGCACCTAGCAGATGATTTTAAAGGACCAATATAATCGATTTGCCAGGTAGACCATAATGTTTTCCCTTCTTTAATGTGCAGAGGTGGTGCTTTATCAGGATGATCAGTTTGCAATCTGAGTTGGTATTGAGGGCACTCAGTAAGTACGGTTTTGCATGATTTTCTGTCAAGGGGCCAGCCTTGGCTTTGTGCTGCAAAGTAAAGGGCATCCTTTCCACTATGTCGTAACTTGAGACATAACCATTCTCCTAGCCCGTACCATTTGGGATCTATAGTGACTTTCCTAATCTTAGTTAGCTCATCCACCTTTAGATTCCACTTTGTAGCTGGTTGGTCATCCTTAGCATGCGCTTTCACCCATCCCATCTTGAAAGGTATTTCCTGGCTATGTCTAGCAGCTCTAACTAGAGATAAAAGCCCTTTCTCCCATTCAGAGTATCATTGTTCCATCTCTTTAAATGCAGTTGAACTAAACAGTAAAGGTCATTTTGGGCCATTAGGACCAGTCTGAAATGGGTTACAATAAGTTGCATGTTCAGCAAATCCCCATTCTACAATGATAGGATCAGATGGGTGTACAGGTCCAAGGGATTGGTATGTTCGCAGTTCATTCATTAAGGTTTTCATAGCTTTGTTATGCTCTTCCGTCCATTCCCATACCTTTCCTTTCCATAGGAGGGAGTAGAGGGGTCTGAGAATCCAGGTATGTGTTTCCTCCAATATTGTAACGTTCCCAACGTTTGCTGGAGTTCCTTTTTGGACTGGGGAGGCTGTAAAACTTCTATTTTTTCCAAGGTATCAGGTGGAATTGAAGCACTACCAGGGTCAAATGGGATTGTTTTGCGAGTACTTGGACCTCGCCCTCCTTGGGGACCTGTTTGTATTTCAGTTTTTATAATGGGTCTGGCCATAAACTGAGGAGGTTCAGGAGGATATAGGGGGTCATCCTGGTCTGAGCTGTTATTATCAGAATTAGTCCAAATATTACCATCCCAGTCCTCAGGGGACACTATCAGTTTTCTGATTTTAACTATGTCAGGAGGTTTCGGAGCTTGCATTAACATAATTTCAACACATTCTCCTAATTTTTGTTCTTTCAATTGAGCTTCCTTAAGCTGTTTTTGCAGTTGTTCTATTTTTACTGATAGTAGCAGTTCGGTGGTTTTACGTCTCTCTATCTCATCCTGCAGATCTTGCATTTTACAGGTTGTTTCCCCTCTTTCTCTACATGCAGCTTCTAAGCATGTTCCAAACATTTTAGAGATTATACCTTTATCTTTCCCATCTTTAGTTGAACGCCTTGCAGCATTTAGCTGCTTCTCTACTGCTTCCCAATTATACAAATTATCATGGGTCCATTCTTTTGAGAAGCCAGGATTCAGATTAATACCATTGTCCTCTACAACTACCTGAAAGGAGGTTGTAGCAAGGTGGGTGTTGGTCTCTTTTTCCAAGTAACAACTGATAGGACAAGAGGAAACAGCCTCAAGTTGCGCCAGGGGAGGTTTAGATTGGATATTAGGAAATATTTCCTCACTGAAAGGGTTGTTGAGAACTGGAACAGGCTGCCCAGGGAAGTGGTTGAGTGTCCATCCCTGGAGGTATTCAAAAGATGTGTAGATGTGGCACTTAGGGACATGGTTTAGTGGTGGACTTGGCAGTTTCAAGTTTATGGTTTGACTCTACCTTAAAGAACTTTTCCAACCTAAATGATTCTATGATTCTGTGTACTGCTAAAGCCAAAAATAGGAAGAATGTGGTTCTTGAAGGCAGGAAAAACATAGTACCTCAACAGTGACACAAGGATCTGCCCCTATCTGAACAACAGTGATGCATTTAGACTGCATTGGGAGTTGCTACTAATATGTGATATGTAGTTCATTTGAGCAGTGATACACCTTTAAGTCAGAAATTACAATTCATGTTATTCAAATGTGTCCCTTAACAATGTGAACCACCAACCATGTGAAAAATATCCTCTTCAGCCAATGCAGAAATCCACTTACTAATTGAAGGCTGACTTCCTGTTTCTTGCTCCAGTTCATCTTCCTCAATGCAGGTGCTAATATTGTATGACCAGTGGTAGAAGGGTAGTCCTAAGAACCCTGAATGTGATGGGCTGGAGAAGACATGCAGGCTCAATGAACCTAGAATGGACGATGATGTCTGGGTGCTTGAGGAAGATGTGCTACTACTAGTTATAGTAGAATGTGGTCTCCTTAGTGGTGTGAAATGGTCAAAGACAGACATTGCTATTGATGCTTGAGATCTTGGCTCTGTCAGAAAAAGACATTGGGTCATTCTGGAAAAAAAGTGGGGAAAATTATCTTGAAAACAAGATCAGGAACAACACTGAGAATTTACATTTGATCAAGTATCATCTACTACACAAACTGATCTTAGTAAACTCTGATAAAATCTATTCATTTCTGGGACTATCTTGAAGATTTTTTGAGAAGGGAAGAAGAAATGCAGTGATATACTCTATTCTCAACTTTCTTGAAAAAGAAAGAAAGGGTATGAAGCAATTATTGAAAGCTGTCTTCTGACTGGACCCCGATGCAGGGAGGAAGAGAGTCTTTATGGCACAGGCCTTTTCCCTTCATGAGGTAGTCAACAGCTTGATTGCCCATGGCTGCTTCACTGGGTTTGATATCCATGAAAGCTTTATTGTCTATTCCCATCGATGCCATCTCTTGCATTTGAAGTTCTGAAATGGATGTTGTACACACATAAATTTTAGGGACCTCTTTGAAGATCTGAAGAAACAGAACATCTTACACTATGAGACATTTCCAGTAAGTAGTTACTGACTGACCCCTACCAGAAATTTATTGAGTACAAAATAACAGAAGCAAGTCTTCTGGAACCTTGGTGCTTTTGCTATTATTTTCTTTAGAAATATAAAAGAGATTTCAAGGTTGCACCTCCCCCAGCGGGGACTCTTTTCCCTCCTCTGGCCCATACTGTCACCATCACAACTGAGTCTCTCCCATTTACTTCAGTTATAGTACAAACTTGCTTTGTCACCTCCTAGCAAGGTAAAGATTTCTTTCAAAGGGAAACAATGTGATGATTTTTCCCATTATAGCTTTGTCAGTGTTCAAGACATTACTTTTCTCTGGTCAGCTAATTATTCTGAAGCAGATAACATCACCTTCATCTGATCAAAAGTAATACCCAAGAGTTAGACTTATACTGTAGGGATTTACACTTTGTATTTGTACTAAAACTGCTAATGAGAGGTAGTGATACCTCCTGGGTATTATCAAGTGGTCTTCTATTGAAAACCAAGGGACATGTATGCTAACAAACCTCTCAACTATACCTCAAAAATATTTTGGTGCAGTAGAAAAGAGAGGGCAGTGGACAACCAGCTTCGTGCCTGGAAATTTCCTTTCATTTCCTGAAATCCCTTCTGCAAATAAAGAACAGAGGCACTTTCTTGTGAGGGTAGAGCCAGATAAGATGTGGCACACTCAATGAATGAAAAGCTGCAAGACTGGCAAGTCCAACAGCAACAGCATTTTTCTAAAATGACAGAAAAAATGCCAATCACTTTCACCCAGCATGTATATCCACTGAGAGGTGGTGGAGACCTAGAGAAGAACAGTACCAGATTCAACAAAGCTGTAAGAAAGTACCCCCATACTATCAGAACTTAGAAGGATCTACCTGATTTGACCTGTAGCTAAAAATTTTCATAGGATAGAACAAAGAAAAGAAAGAGGCACCAGCATTAGCAACATATCTATACAATATCTCTTTGAATATATTTACTTCTTTAATTTCAGTTTCAAGTTTGTTGTTTTTTTCTCAATGAAATTTTTTCTCTTCTTGTGAACAAAGATTTTTAAAGTTAGCTGCCAGCAGAACAGCAAACAGAAATTGAAAAATAAACCAGAAACTGCTATGATTCATTATTTTTAGATGTTGCTGCACTGACTTTAGTGAATCTTCTTGCATCTATCTTCACCCTTTCTTCTGTTTCTTCAATTTATGTTTTGTCTTATACCCTTCAGAAGGAAACAAGGTACAGAAAATTCTCATCTAAGTAAGATGGTATATCTGTGCGATTCCATTCTTGAACTTGCAGCATTTAGCAAACATTTTTCTGTGGGGTCCGGCTAAAAAAAAAAGGGTTAAATTTTAAAAATACTACTTATCTTCAAAATAACCTGGAGGAATCGAAAAAATATTTTTCAGCATTAATTTTATGGTCACCTTCACTGTACATGGGTACTGTAACACAGGTCACCAAAAGGTATGGTTATTGCTTTGGTTTCAATCAGCATGCACAAAAATTTCTTTGCATCTGCTTTACTGACAGATCAGAAAACAAGTTGCAAATTAGTCAGATAAAGCAGAGACAACCTCTAGTGGTGAAAACAGACGTGATCATTTTAAAAATGTGGAATAGGCAAGTTACAATTTGTAGTGACTTTCAGTTTTAAATGACAGGATACAAGCTAACAAAAATCAGTTGGCTAAAGTATGATGCAAAACTTTTATGATCACTTAGAAAACTTTGTAGGTGCCTACACTTTCCCTTTCTACACTCCCCTTTCCAGGGAACTTAAACAAGTCTTCTGTTAAGGCTTCTACAAAGGAAGAATCCTAGGATTCTACAGAGGTTTCTAAGTGATAATCCTTAAAATAACAATTAATTAAAAAAACCTAGAGAACAATGTACCTAGAGAACAAGGATCATGAAACCCTGCTTGATGTGTAATGTTTATGAAGAGATACTGTGCTGATAAGGTGAGACAACTAATATAAATTAAATATTGCCCTTGACTATTTTCACAGAAGTATTTGTCCAATAGGTTTCAGCGCCTTCAGATCACTTCTTAAATATTTTTCTTTTCCTAAGTGAAACATTTAACTGCTAATTAACATTTTATGTCCAGAAAGGAATGAAGTTATACACTTTTTATTGCTTATAGAGAAGGCTTAGAAACATTTTGTTTCCCATTTTCCTGTTTAAGGCTTTTGTGTTTGAGGGAAGAGAAGAGGAAAGACCCTTATTTTTTTCTAAGAGACAGTATGCATGACTGCAGAACAGACAGACTCACCAATACTATACAGTGAGAATGAATAAAATAAGAGGGTGTTTATTTCTAAAATCATGGTGACATCTCACAACATGCCTAAGCCAACAGAAAATTAGTCCGTGAATCAAAGAAGTACTGGTTTACTGAGGAGTCAGATAAGCAGCAATATTAAAGCATGAAGGATAACAGGAGAGTGAAGGAGAAGCTATAGCAGACCACTGAGGCTCTCTTTTCCTTTCCAGGGAAGGAAGTGCTAAACCAACATGGTTATCTTGTCTAATCTCACTCTCAAAACTGATATTTAAAATCTCTGTCTTACAGGTAACAGGGGGAAGTCTCTCCCCTTCATATCTGAGATAGCTGATACCAGGAAAGACCAAGCCCTCACATATGTCTGAAGTTCAGGTACTTCCCTGACTGCTGCCAGCCCGTACTTTTTGTCTGCAAAATAAATCTTCAGCAGACAACACAGAATCAAATAAAAGATAACAGATCAATTTATGGTCCTGCAGCTTGCATATAAAGCACATGCAAAGCACATGCAACCAAATTCTTTAACAAGCATCATTCCTAGGTGTGGAAATACTAAGCTTCTACTTCACACACTTGCTGTTTTCAAGTGTGTCTTGCTTAACCTGAATATTTCTGTTGGCTTCAGATGCATAAGATGTATTTCACTCTGGTAGGGTGCCTGCCTAGAACAAGAAATTACCAGCTGAAACATCTTTATAGACTGCATACCTTGAATCCTCAGAGCCTGTCTCCAAAGAATCTTTCCTATGTTATTAGATCGTGTAATATTAATTTCTGCTGTGGTTGCTTGAAGGATGTATGCGTCCTGGGGTGATCTTCTCCTTCAAAACTAAATTTCAAACCTCAGACCACTATCTCCAACATTCTCTGTCATTCCACTCTTGGCTGTCTGAAAGATACAAAACAATTTGATGTTTACTACAAACAGAGCAAACTAATTTCTTCATGTCACACATTTTAATTGAGAGAAATCTGCATCTTGATTACTTGGTTATGAACCTGCAAGTGCTTCCAGCTGGAGACTTGTATTTGCGAGTCAGTAGTCTGTGTCTTTCTTGTCCTTCTACAGAGTGCAGGGACACAGCAGTGTTGCTGCTAGAAGATAGCATGCATCCTCTAATGATCAGCTGGTTGAAGTGAATTCAGTTAAACTGAGCCTATAACACAGGATGTAGTAGTTGAGACACTATTGAGCTTCTATCAGCTGAAGACACACCAGCTGGCATCGCGTGTGCAAGGTGAACTCCCAGTTATGGCTCTAATTCTATGGCTACAGCAGTTTAAACAGGCAGTTAAATAAAGCATATGTATCAGTATTTAGGCAAGCCACAATCCACAAACAACAGCGGACATATCTGTATTCTCAATCCAAGTGACTGCAAATTAAAACTTCATATATTCACCCCTTGTTGTCCAAATGGTAAGGCTCTCAAGCATTTTGTGTTTCTTATGCACTTAAGACACAGAAAAACAGAGTATCGATATTTTTCTTACTCCGAGCTTCTCCAAACTTTGAAAAAACCAGCTTAATATCTTTTCCCTAAAACAATAATAGTAAAAAATTATTTGTAATGAAATTTACAGCTGCATGCTGGTCCATTCACCCAACAGTGTTAAAGAGAGCACATCCCTGTTCAGGGCAGGCTATTGAGAAAGGAGCATTGTGCATTATATGATTTTCCTAATAGGACAACAGGATTGCATTTACCTTGAGTGACTGTTTGTACATATAGACGTCATATACCCCATTAATCTTTGTTGTTTTGCTAAACAAGGTAAGATCTTCAAAGAGGAAGACATGCCTCAAATACTTCTTCCTTCCACAGCAAACAATAAACTCATCCTGACACTGCAGCTGCCCTTGCTCTTTCAAATTAACCTGTTGAGAGAAAATGACAAAGTTCTGACAGATAAGAGAAGGCTGCACTGATTTCACCATGTCTAAGGAAGGAGGAGGGGAGAGTATGTCTACTCCAGAGCTGAAAGTAAGCTAAGCTACATGGCATAACATTCTGAGAGCATATTGCTCTGGGCACACAGCTGCATTTGCATTGCTGATTAGAACAGCAACATGTATCTGCTAAAACTGCTTTCAGATCTATCAGATAACGGAAAGGTTCAGGTATCTCTTCATCATGCTCACATGCAATTTCAGAGCCAAACAGCATGTCTAGGCCCTCTGCTGCACACATGTCCTACAAGCAGAAGCATTTTAGGACAGGCATGGCTTCCCCCTACACACTGTTTTCTTAATTGTGGTGTACAGCACTGGGCACTCCAGGATTTTGATCCATAACGGAGTCTTACAAGCTCCAGAGCAGGACAAATCACAGGTGTTAAAGCACTCCTTTCGGTCTCCCTTGGTGACATGCTATCTTGGAGAAAAACCAGGGCAGGAAAGTCAAATGAGCAGCAAAGTAACAGTGGGAAAATGCTTGCATCACATCCTTGAATAGGATCCATAGCAAGCAGGTCATTTCCATGGCGTAGTTGGAATTTCACCATCTCCTCAGCAGCCCTCAGATCACTGAGTTCCTGCTCCTGGGCTTTTGTGCACTCCTTGATCATATCTTTCAGTAGAAGTGCATACTCGCTCATTATTTGAATGGGCTTCAATAAATAGCTCAAATCCATCTTATCATCCAGATTCTGTTGCTTATTCTGCAGAAGTAGGAGAAATGGGTAAATGCTGCTAAGATATGTTCCCTAAACAACTATAAAATCAACAAGTAATGATCACACAATTTACGTGAGGTGAAGAACTAGATAGTAATTACCTTAAAGATGGCATTTCCATGCCTGGTTAGCAAGGTATCTGATTGTGGCTTGTTCTTGCTGTACCACACATAAATGCCAATCTGTTCTTCCTAAAAAACAGAGAAGATGCATTAGTCCTTGCTACTTCTCCACAGATTAGTTCCTTTCTACCATTAGATTTTTTTTCCAGTTAAAAGAAGCAAAAAAAAAAATTGTCTGCATATAGATTTAGGGAAGTTTTTTCTAAACTGTAGCTGTATCCATGTGTTATCGAGCCAGACGTTAGCAACCAAGGACTACATATGCAGGGAACTTTGCTTTCTATAGGTATCGACCCTTCCAGATCCAACACTCTGTAAAATCAAGCAGTTGTAGTCACAGGTATTTCATTTTTCCACAGCAAAAGCTAATATAGTACTAACACCCTATCTACCTGACCTAATTTCTTTAATATATGAGTACAGAAAACTCCTACGAGAATGGGCTAATGTCTCATAGCATTAACAGCCTGCAGGAGTTGTAAGGAGTTCAGCTACTGAATGCAGCACAGACAAAAACACAGACACTTCCCTGCACAGTAGTCCCCTGGAGACAAGATGCGAATGTGCCATATTAAGGCCGTTAAGGGCTAGTAAGCCTTAACAGAAGGCTCCCTTAAGCTCCCTAGAAAGGGGAAAAAATGAGAGGGAAGAGAAAAAGAAACAGCTTGCCCAGCATCCAGCAGGATCATGGGAAATTCTTGCTTAGAACACAGAATGAAAAAAACACTCAAAATGTTTGTCCCTGTGTCTTGGGAAACACATGAGTACCTTCCTATCTTTAAACTAAAAATGTTTAAATACGTCATCCAAAGGTAAATAAATAGATCTTCCTTTAATAAAACAACCTGAGCAATGAAATACAGTGAGAAGGGTTTGCTTTCAAGAGACAAATACAAACAGTTTATTATCTTCTATCATTCATTTTATCTGTTGTGAATCCAGCCAGACACTGTTGTGCTCTAAATGTATTTGCAAGACTGAAGCATAGCTGTTTGATTAGAGAATACAATCATAAAAGAAAATCAAAGCAAAGGATTATTGTCCTTTTCAAATAACAAGCAAAACATTTTTTGGCATCTTTCAGATCTGTAACTACCTGCATATACTTCATTTCTACTTCTTCCCATTAAGAAACAAATAAAGGAGAAAAACATCATAAAAAAGTAAAGCAAAAACCTTATCTTCCCACTTAGAAATATTTTTTTTCGTTTTTAAATCCAGATTTTCTAAGAATAATTAGAGAAGTTTATTTTAAAAAGTGGATCTGACCTAAGTGATGATTAGCTCCTGCATCAGCATTTTTACCCACATCATCAAAGAAAACCTCTCCATTGCTCCCAATTAAAGGGAGCTTGTATTCTTGCCTCCTTGCCCCCTATTTTGTTACCCTAGCAGAAGAACATATCAACTATTAATGCTAATGAAATTCTGTAATGAGAAAATACCACGGCCTGTCTGAGCTGGGAACAGATTGCTTCAAGGCCAAAATTCAAGTGCTTTTTTTCCCATAATAGTCCAAATACAAACATTCTTTGCACTGACAGTCCTGTAGGCAGCTTCACGAAATTGTCCCTATGACAGGGCACATTTTAGCCACTTTCAGGGCAGAAAGCATTACCCCGCTCCCGATCCCAAGATAAATGACTGTTCACTCTCTGCTTAGAGACTTGCTGAGTAATGAGACGTGACTGCCTGCAACAGTTGAAAAGACTTTATCACAGTAGGTAGATGGGAAGATACAATTTGGAAAAGTCATGCAGCAGAAAAGCCTATTCTGGTTCCCTCTTCTGGCACTCACCAAACAACAAATTCTCTGGGAAAGCCATCTGGAGGTCAGCTCTGAAGACCAGCAGTGATATGAAGTAGTCACTGCTTATACTCACCACAACGCATTTCCTGAAATGAACCATCCGACACAGACACTGACTCTCCTCCTGTCACAAGCAGAAAAACTGAGAGGAGACATAGAACAACTCTCCTCTCAGCTACTTACCAAGCATGAGCCAAAGAAGGATATGGGGAAAACAGAGTGTTACAAAAAGTTGAAAAACAAGAAGGCAGGACAAGAGCAACATTGCCCATGTAATCAAATTGGGAAGTCCTTAGCAGCTTCCTATGCCTGATGAAGTCTCACCATCTGCTCTTCTTGTTTCCCCTGTGCTCTTGTGACTTGAGTGACTGCTTGAGCGACTGTTAAGAACTGCCAAACATTTTGTTCAAGATGCTTGAATATCTTTTGCATAAGACAAAATGAAGAAAATTAGTTTATCTCACTGCCCTAGAGACAAGAGGAGAGTCCTGAAATAATTTTTATCTTATTTTGGAGGTATCCAGGAGTTATCTGGTTTAACTCTGAATTGACCACCATTACCTTGTATATGTCTTACCCTTAAGGAGAATACTCCAGAAGACACAAAAGTCCAAAGAAAAATTTGAACTGGTTGCAGAATGAAAATTTAACTTTGTTGCACGTTTAAAGGATCTGCAGTTGGTTTTTCACAATAAAAACATTCTTTTACATTTTATAAAACAGAACGGAGTTAAAAAGACCTTCAGGCTTTCAGTCTGAATCTCTCTCACTTCTGTGCAAAGAAGTCATACAGCTCACCCCAGCTGTAAGAAACCTCCTAGCCGAGAACCTCACCAAAATTGATACCTTCCAGTCAGCAGAAACCTATTAACTTTTTCAGACATCAGGGTAGTAGTCCAGACATACTGGAGAAGGCAGTGGAGTGCATATTTAAGAGGAAAAAATCAAAACAGGCCAAAAATTAAGCTAGACAGACAACAACCATAGCCACATCACAGCAATTTTGTCAATTAAAACAACCACAACTCAACATCTACATAAACTGAATCCAAACCTTTAATTGAGAATTCTGCCCTGTGTTTAATACAAGGGGAAAAGCTTGGGCTTGTTGCCAGTCTTAGAAGCACTGGTACTAGATGATTAGAAAGAGACATTGAGTGTGGAAAGAGGAAAGGATCATGTGTTTTTCATTTGATGGCAAATACAGTATAATGAGAGCCTCCAATCTACCCAAACATGATGTTCTCAAATAGCAGGATTGTGAACAGTAACTACAACTACATCTTCTTTGTCAGCGGGCCTGGCTCTTTCAACAACTGAAGCTGTAACACCCAACCACTCCAGTTATTTCAGAAGCTGCTACAGCTTGTAACATTGTCTTGTAGGAATGGAATAAATGGAAATTTGTGACATCAGAAAAGAGGCCATTAAAAGCCTTTATGTGGGTTTAGTGCCAGTTTCTGCAGATTCAGCAATAACAGGTTTTGCTTTCATCCACTTTCTTTAAAAACGAAGAAAATAATTGAGTGTGAGATCTGTAGATAGGAGGGAATTGTCAACATTTCAGCAAGGCAGGAAATGTATTCAGACAAATCACTAAATTCTTGCCTGTATCACTTCCCTGAAAAAGAACAGTGTTCCCTGAAAAAGAACTGTTCAATCTTAAGCGCATCCAACACGAAGTTAAATGTTGTCTGCAAAGAAAAACCTTAAGCTTTCAGCTGGAAAAGTTAAACTGGCTGTCCCAGAACATTCATATAGCTAGTAGGCACACAACCACCACTTCTTCCTAACAGAGTAAACATAACTGTAGTAAGGGCTAAAATAATTTTATTCTTTAATCCAAGCTTGAAGTGAGAAACAGCACTATGTGCAAAATACTGAAATTAAGTATCCAAGGCACGATCCCTTAATGCAAATGAACACCAACGGCCACCACTCTGACCAGTCCTTTAAACAAAGCACAAACTACAGAATTGGGCAAGGCTTCACCCAAAGGCTTCTTGAAAGTGCCTTTGGGAATTTGGCAAATGCTTGCCATGCAAACTATCATATCTGCTGTAAATATTACAGTGGGCTGAAACAAGGTACCACAGGTAATTTACAATTCTTCCAGTCTACTGTCATAAATAGAATGTGGCTTTTCCTTTATATCAGGCACAAAAAAATGTGATTGTGCCTCCAGGTGACAAATAGGAATAAGTATGTCATTAATGATCATTTCAGAATTGATATCTCAGAAAGAGGCATAACAGTGTTTTTTCCAAACATCCTGAAGAAAGAATATTCCAGTTCTGTTCCTCTGCATCACACACTGTTGATGCAGAAGAAGAACCAGAACCTGAAAGCTCACTTCTTTGTCAGTTCACCACAAGCGTTTTTCAGTTTTGCACATGGCCTTCAAGGCATCTTAATATCAGAAACAAAACAGTCAGATTTTTTCTGGCCTAGTCATCGTGAGAAAAATACAGTAACAACTGAATTTCCAGATGAGATAATTCAAACAAACAAAAAAATTTTCACTTTTCATACCATCTACTTATTTCAAAACAAATGTATTCTCAGTCACTAGGCTGTTCTTTTCCCTAACAGTACTTAAGCAGATTTATTTGGACAAACCAAACAGAATACCACATAAAAGTCAATGCCTTGTTTTCATCTACAGCCTCATTATACTCTTGCATGTAATGCTACCCGAATACAGGCATGTAATGGCAGACAGTAACTTCAAAACATGCTACTGGAAACATATTATTGTGAAGTGGGTTCAGAAAGAAAAGGGGAAAAAAAACCCTCCAAACATGCAACTTGAAGTCACTAGGTTTAATCCAAGACCATTTTAATGACATAAGAGGGTGGGCAATTATTTACGTAAGAAAAATAAAATAGAACCCCAAGAGCACAGTCATTTTTGGCAAAGATGCATATAAATTTCCATTCATTGTGTAATGGACATCACTAGAGATTTTCAAACCTTGACTAGACAGGGCCCTGTGCAACATGATCTAGCTTTGAGATTTGCCCTCCTCTGAGAACATTGGTCTTGAACCCTCAGAGGTCCCTTTCAATCTAAAATACTCTATGATTGCATGATTCCACACTTTCATTTTCAGGTTTGTGTGACCCACTGAAATGACAGTACACAAAGTTGCAATCTGGCAAAACAGTGTTATATGAGATGAGATGGCTTTTACATTTTCCAGTTTGTCTTCATGGTGACACAAAAATCATTTATCTTCATAAAAAAATCATTTCCAGA